CACACACACACACACACACACACACACACACACACACACACACACACACACACATATATATACATACATATACATGTATATAATGTATTTTAATGGTTTTGGACATGTGTCGACGTCATTCGCAGGGCTCTCTGTCTCGATAGCTCTCGTCGTTCGCAGGGTCCTCGTCCTCTTCTGGGATTCTGCACCCAGCTCGATACTGCGCCACGACGGACCCACGTCTGCGTCTCCAAAGGGGTTTCCGCTCCTGCTCCCTTTTTTTCTGGATTTGGACTTTGCTCTCTGCTTTGCTTTCTTCAGTGTTCTTAACGTCGCATCTCCATTTATTGGGGATGGCTTCAGACAGATCGTATGATGCTGCCCTTGATGCTGCCCTTGCGGGTGTCCACGCCTCAGGTACACCTAAATCGTGCTCCTTCCCTTCTTCGGTTGTTTTTCCTCCTTAGTTTTAGTGGGAGGATATCAAAAAATATGTTAGGAATAATGAGAAGTCTGCTATTTTTTTACAGAAGCTGATGATATTCAACTTGTTTCTTCCTGTCGACTGAATTTGGTCGGGAAATTTCTGTAAGGTCATCCCAAAATGGAGTTGATTCGTAAGGAATTTGAGCTTATGCACCTGGTTGAGGAGTGGAAAATTGGACAGTTAAATGAAAGACACATTCTCATACAAATTAATAATGAAGAGGATTGCACGTGCTTATTTGCTATAAGGATAATCTGGAATGATAACAGAGCGATGAAGATTTTGAAATTGTGTGTGGATGTTGACTCCCAGACGAAACTGCCAATCATTCCAGTTTGGATTCGCCTCCCGAGTCTGGAATTTCATTATTTTATTCAAAAAATTTTGTACATTATTAACTCAGCTTATGGTAAGCCACTCAAAACGTATATTCCTACTTTTAATCTTTTACATTCATCTGAAGCCAGAGTACTTGTTGAAAGAGACATCACTTCATCTGCTTCTGAGGAAATTTGGTTGGGCACACAACATCATGGAAATTTGATTGGGCACACAACATCATATATACAATACATCTTGGGCCGATGGTGATCTGCTCTGCTAGAGTTTCGCCTGATGGCAAAACCCTAGCTTGGTTCCTTACTCGACGACAAAGTTCACGCACTCGACGACGATGACTTAGTTTCCCGCACTCGACGACGACGACAGACTCTACCTTGCGATCATTTTTTCTTTCGCGCCAAACGACGAAAGGGTTCGGCGTTTGCTTCTGCGGTTTCGTCGTGTCCTCTTTCGCGCCTTCCAGCTTCTGCGGTTCTTTTCTGCACGGATCGAGCTGTGATTTTGTCTGACGAACTGCGATTTCATTGCCCTGTCTTTTGCACATTTCATCTGTTGTTCCTGTCTTCTATGCAGCTTCGCCTCGAACTCTTCAGCTCGTCTTTTTTGCCCTCTGCCCAAATTGCAAGGCTTCTCTTTGTTGTGATGAAGCTTCCTTCTTTGATTGAACCTACAAAACCTCATTTGCTCACGTGGTGGGAAATCCTCAGGAAGAGACAATGATTGTCTTCCCTTCAAATTATAAGAAGCATTGTGATGGTACAAGCGATTGTCCTTTTATAAAAAATGTAAGCATAAAAAGTAGGAAGGCAGCACTTTTTCTCCACGTCAGAAATTTCAACACTGACTGACAAATTTAAATTTATTCTTATTGAAAAATTTCAATTGATACACCCACCTATGGAAATTATCAGAAAAAGTTTTGATGACCTCAAATT